GGGGAGGGGGAATATCTCATGGTGGTGTCACGCTGAGGTCTTGCTATATGCCAGGGGTCCTTTGTGGGCAGGAATAGAGGAGGATCCAGGTTTTGTGATGCCCGAAGCCTAGTTTGTTGGGCTGTTTTAAGGGGGGAAGAAAAAAACCTAAAAAATTAGTAACACAAACAAATTAAAAACATGAATATACTTAGAATGAGAAAGGAAATTAAATTATTAATTTTTAAAAGGCTTATCATGCAATCTAGAAAAATAATATTGTGAATTATTAACTGACATACTTTCTCTACACTTTTTTGGTTGCGTAGCCTTTGATCGCTTCTTCATATGACAGCTGTTTGGCACTATCTCTTTCTTGTACAGACAGTAGAAAGATCGTTGTCTCTTACGGCAGTTTCAACAGAACTGAGGTGTTTTTTTTTTTTTTTTAATTGCTGGTTGTGATGTATAAAACATGCAACTTTACATACAGAATATAAACACAGTGCACATAACCTGTACACATAAAAATTCTGACTCTATTTTCCATGATTCCCATTAAAAAAATGGGGTGGAGCATTTATCATGTTATATGCTGAATTGGATATATTCTTGTCAGGAGACAATTTGTTTTGACTAGGTGTCAGAATTGAATCCTACTTAAAATTTTACATATCCGATGATTGAAAAAAAAATTCACCTAGCTTCTGGCTTTTGCACTACCCACGTATTTCTGGTGCTGGCCATTGTAGGACACATTTACGTCATACTGTGTACTTTGGTCCTGTACCTTCACGACAGTCAGCTTGGTGAGTTGACACCAAAGATGGAGGAAGAATTTCTGGAAGACATTCCTACACTAGGAGGGCTAGATATAAGGTACCTCTACAAGGAAGTTTCTGCAAATGATACAAATATTTACTACTGTACCCAAACCATAGGAGTCCCCAGTTTGCCTTAGCTGGAGCTCCTAAAGTAATGGAAATCCTCCAAAGACACCCAAGAAAGAGGGAGTTTAAAAGGTACAAGGTTTTAACTAGTTGCAATTAAAACATCTTACTTTAAACAATTTTATAAAAATGGATGATACTGTTAATGCATTACTAGGGCGCCTCCCAGAGTCATGAAAGGGGCCTGGCCATGAGAGGACCTTAAACTTCAGCTTCATTCCCTGGAGGGTTTTCAACTGGGGAGGATCAAAAAGAAACACGCAGTGGAGATTATCTTTCTTCCTATGTTTTTATCATCTCAACATGTTTCAGTTTTGCCTTGAAAAATTAATGTACTCAGCATATCTAAATTTTCCTTTTCTATGCAGCATAGTTAATAGACCTCTCCATTTCCTTACGTTTGGTTGGCATAGCTTCCTCTTGGCACCATTTGTACAAAAAATGCTCTCTCCCTTCCCTGTTCTTTCTTTTTTCCCTTCCCTTCTGAGTGGCACACTGGTGCATTTTTGTTTTATGTGGCTCATTAAAGTAGACGGTGTGATGGAGACTCTAGAGCCCTTGTGACAGGCAGAACAGCTACTACACACGCACAAGGGATCTGAGTTCTAATTCCCATTCAGCTTTTGATTTGTTGCCTGATGTGAAAGAGAACTACTTCCCCTTCCTGGCTTAAGCACCTCAGCTAGTCAGTAAACATGGTAGGCAAAATCTGTGGTTCCTAGGAGTCCAAGTTCTGTTCCAAGCCCTCAGAAAGCTCTGCTTTTTTTTTTTCTTTTCTTTATTATATTCTAGAATTTGTTTCAAGCTTTTTGTCTTGAAATGGTCATGCTATTAAAAAACAGATCAAAGGCCTTTTTTTTTTTTAGAAGTAGTTGTCCCAAATACTTGGCATAACCTAAAGAAAATTTTCTTTTGACAATTCTAATTCCATTGTAGAGCTCAGAAATTGAATTTGTGTCTGTCAGAAGTTTATCTTAGAGCCTGATGCATAGTCAGGGTTGAAAGACATTGTTCTAGACCAGTGGTATGCGACCTTGCCTATATTTTAAGATTGCACGGGGCCCTTTAACAATGCCGGTGCTTGAGTCCTACCTATGGGACTATTATTGAAATGACCTGAGCATGTAGGTTTTTAAAGTCTCCATGGCTTTCTCTGATGTACATCCAGCATTGAGAAACCCTAATAGAGGTAATCACTGCATTCTGTCAATATCTAATATCTAATTTTTGCAAGAAAAAAATCAGATGTGATACCCGTATTCCCAGTCTCTTGTAAGTATTTACTGAACATGTCATTTCCACTTTATAGCTAAATTAAGTAATTCCTGCACTTTTTTTCAAAGAAAAAGCAGCTGGTGTGGTGCCAATACCTCTAGCTTCTCTACCCCATTTTGTGAAGAATTTCTCACTGGTCGTCATTCCTGTAAGAGTCCAATACTGTTATTCTTGTCCTTTCCCTACCACAAACCCCGTTTCCATGTGCAAGTGGGTCAGCTCTAGTCTTAAATCAGCACATTCATAAAATTAGTTGGTTCGAAATAAAAGACCTTGCAGATAAGATTTTAAGATTCTTTGCTCATTTCCTTAACTTACAGAATATGTTTTAATGGAAAAGAAAGGCCTAATTTCCTTCAAACTTAGGAGACATTCTTATCCCTTCTAATTGATCTTGATGTGTACAAAAAAAAAAAAAAGAGCGATGACTTTATTGTGTTGCCATGTTGTTACAACAGAGCCCCAATCTACAAAATTCTGAGGAGCTGAGTTATGAAATGGAAGTTCTCGTGTAACAGGAAGTTCACTGCTTGCTTGGGAACCCAGTGCTTTGGGAACCTAGAGTGAAAATGTGCAGGGATACTGAAAATGAATTCTCCCATGGTGTTTGGCTTAAACTTCTATACACCCCCAGACAGCAGAAGCTCTTAAGTAGACAGGAAATCATTCATTCATTCCTCATTTATGCATTTGTTTTTTTCACTCATTCATGCTATACACACATATTTAAATAAATACTCATGTGAGGACCTGATTTTGGCACTAGAGTAGTGTCTAGAATAAGACAGATGTCATACAGGACTTCATTGAGAATTTCCATTGACCATAAATAAAAATGTACTGGGTTTTTCAGTGGAATTCCATGGATGTCCAAAGGCCTTGGGTTCTTAAAGGGATTTTAGATTTTATGTGTACATTTTAATGATTATCTAAAAACTGTAAAGTAATCACATTCCAACCCATCTGAAAGATGACCTAGTAACCAAGGGTGTGATGTTAGGAACCCACATTAAGTTTGTCACCATGGTCACTTTTGTACCACATAGGACACACTTAATTGATATATTTTTTTAAAAGATTTTATTTATTTACTTGACAGACAGAGATCACAAGTAGGCAGAGATGCAGGCAGAGAGAGGAGGGGGGAGGCAGGCTCCCTGCCGAGCAGAGAGCCCGATGCGGGGCTCAATCCCAGTACTCTGGGGTCATGACCTGAGCCGAAGGGAGAGGCTTTAACCCACTGAGCCACCCAGGTACCCCTAATTGATATATATTTTTTAATATTTTTATTTATTTAAGAGAAAAAGTGAGTGGGAGGGAGGGAGAGAGAGAGAGACTCTCAAGCAGACGCTGTGCTGAGTCCAGATCCCCATGCAGGGCTCTGTCTCAGGACACTGAGATCAGGACCTGAGCCAAAACCAAGAGTCAGGTGCTTAAGTGACTGAGCCACCCGGGCGGCTCACAAATTTAATTGCTGTTGACTAAGACGAAAATAAATAGAAGGAAGCCTCATTCTTAGGGAATGCAGTATGCTTACAAGAGGGCCAAATGAAGTAAAGATCTCTGAATAAAGATTGTGCAGATATTTGCATGGAAAAAAAGCAATTGGGCTGTGTTGTCACGTGGCTCATGGCAGAGTAGGGATGTTCTACTCTGAGGGTGCCGTGCTAAAGCCCTGGGTACCGCACGATGCCACTTAGTTTCAGGAAATCATCATCCTTTGTGGGAGTCCGTTATTGTTCATTTTGAATGGTACACGTTAGTAGCTTTGTATTTAATTTTAAAACTTGTTTCGCTATTAGAGTTTTATGGAAGTGATAAATTTACTTTGATTTGTGTTGACACCTAATTAGTAGTGCTAGTATAAAGATCATTTTGTCAACAGCAGGGATTAGGGGAAGCTTCCTTACTTTAAGAGGGATTAGTCTATTACTTAATACTGACAAATATTTTTCTAACTTATCTCCCTGTACTATAATCATTGCTTAACGAGTTCATTCCTCCCATTAGCCTGCAAGCTCCTGGAAGGCATATCCACATCTTCCTTGACTTTGAGGCTCCTATATGTTTATTAATTAAATTAGTTGATTGAAAATAATAAGTAAGTGAGTTGATTGACCACAACTGGAATTGTGTAACCCCTCACATCAAAGTCAGCATGTACTGAGGTTTCTGTCAAGGGAGGCATTTAAGCATAGGCTATCACTTGAAGACTTCTGAGTCCAGTGAGGCTTACTCTGTGCCCATCAACATCCCTTTGAATTCTAGAGTAGGGGGAAGATGAAAATTGTTATGTTTTCTCCTGCCTTTCTGACAGTACAGAATGATTGCCTTTAAGATCATTTTACCCCCCAAATAAATGCCTGAAGAGTACTTATCATACTAGCACGATGAACTCCTGGGGCTCATTTATTTTCTCAGACAAATTCCCAATTTTACCCTCAGGATTTGGGTAGGTGGTGGAGTGTCTCCCTCACAAAGAGGTTGGAATTCTAGGAGTTGTTTGGAAAATGGCTTCCTAGGGGTTCTTTTCCTCCCATGGTGTGTGTGCCCGTGGATGTCTCAGTACACATCACGAGAGGTGGCTGCGTAAAGTGAAAGACTCATACAGCGTCCACAGGAGCCACTTCTGTCCAGAGGAAACGGATTTTTGGAGTTGTCAGGAAGGTAGAAACATACAGATAGCAGCTCGCCATATCTCTTCATCAGCTGATTTTTTTCTTTTCTTTTCTTTTTTTTTTCTTCCCCTCTCAGCAGTTTAATGTGAGTGCCTCTCTCTCGCCTCATTTATTTCAGATGCCTCAGGAACAGTACACACACCACCGGAGCACCATGCCCAGCTCTGAGGGGCCACAGGTATACAAGGTGGGCATTTATGGCTGGCGGAAAAGATGCCTGTATTTCTTCGTCCTGCTCCTGATGATTTTAATACTGGTGAACTTGGCCATGACCATCTGGATTCTCAAAGTCATGAACTTCACAATTGTAAGTAAAAACACACATTTCTTTAGCCCTTCTCAGGGGAAGGGAAAGTGTGGAGCAAGAAGGAATGTGGAAAAGTGGTGGTAGTAGGATTCAAGTACCTTGCAAGCCTGGCATTTGGTTAAAAAATATTTCTGTTCAGATTACATGTGGGGGTCTGCCTCTTTCTAATCTCTTTCCCTCAGTGACTGGGAATCCAAGTTAGAGGCATTTCCCTCCTTTACAGTCTCTTGGATGCTTTCCCTCCATTTTGATAACTGTGATTCTGTATCCTGTAGTTTCCAAGCCTTTTGAGTAAATCATGAAGGAAGAAATATGGGCCAAATTCAAAGTACTAAGTTTTCCCAAATTTTGGGAGGGAGTATAAAAGGGTTTTGAGGTAGAGGGTAGCAATATCTGAGCAGAATAAGGCTTTGTGGGTTATCTAAGAGTCGTAACACCCTGTGCATACCTGGTGGCTCACTGCTGTAGTTAATTAAGATTCTCCTTGGGTTTTAAAAGGCCAGTTTTCTTTGCCACTGCCTGAGTAGGATGGAAATGGGGGGGGTAGCTATGCTTCACTTTTTAAAAAATTTTTTTAAGAATTTGTGTTTATGCTTCTTTGAAGAAATTCTTGTTATTGGTGGTTAGGGGCACGATGCATATTGAACATTTACTTGTTAAAGTTCAAATGAAAAGAAAATTCTGGAAATATGATTTCTGGAGTTATTCTGAGGTTCCCACCCCCCATCCCTGGGTTGCCTGGAGATTCTGGTAGTGTAAGCACTTTCACTTTGAGTGAACACATAGTGGGTAGTAACCTGCTGCCCTGAGATGGCTTTCATTTTTTGTGATGTCAGAAGGAAACAATTAGGTTGCTAATAAAAATATCCCATTTGATAAAGAAATCTGACCATAATGCAATTAACAAGCAGGTTTTTTTTTGTTTTGTTTTGTTTTTTTTAAAGATTTTATTTATTTATTTGACAGAGAGAGATCACAAGTAGGCAGAGAGGCAGGCAGAGAGAGAGAGAGGGAAGCAGGCACCCTGCTGAGCAGAGAGCCTGATGTGGGACTCGATCCCAGGACCCTGAGATCATGACCTGAGCCGAAGGCAGCGGCTTAATCCACTGAGCCACCCAGGTGCCCCAGCAAGCAGGTTTTTCATGTGAAAATCCCCAATAGGATAGTGGATTTTTGCCTTTTCTGGATTGTAAAGTTCTTCTTTATCCTTAAGCCAGTCTGCGTGGTTGTACTTCCCTGCCTTCGTGGAGGTGATGTCTTCTGCTTTGGCTCTTTCCTCCATCTTCCTGATGTTCCATAGCTGCCTGGTAAAACCTGTGATCCTCCTGTAGCCCCATTTATCTATTTCTTATTTTCTCCTCACCCTGGAGAATAATTTTTACCTGTGTTTCGCAGACAAACTTTGAGAAGACCTTATGGCTTTAAGACGTGTCTGGAGTCCATCTGGTACTAAATCCAAGGGACCATAATTGCCCTCTGTTGATGTGCATGTTGTGGGATATTTTTATTTATTTATTATTTTTTAAAGATTTATTCATTTTAGAGGGAGTGTGCATGAGTTGGGGGAGGGGCTGAGGGAGCAGGAGAGAGAGAGGCCTCAGGGAGACTCCCTGCTGAGCACAGAGCCCTATACTGGACTTGATCCCAGGACTCCCGAGACCATGACCTATAGCCGAAATCAAGAGCTGACTGCTTAACCAGTTGAGCCACCCAAGCACCTGTGATGTTCTTATTTTATGTGTCAAGAACTTGTAAGTGGAAAGCTTTTGTTCTATAGTATTAATTAAGAGAAAATTGAAGCTAGGGCAGTAGAATGGAGAATAAAAACGTAAAAGACATTTAAAAGATGGTGTTGGTGTAACTCAACTAGGTTGTAGGAGATGAAGGATTGGAAGAAATTCTGGAGCATTCCCAGATTCTGGCTGGTGAGAGAGTTGAGTGGTAGAGTCCAAAAAGCAAGGTAGAATTTATTACTTTCCCATTGGAACTTAGCTGGAACTAATGTCCCCCCTATAGCTTTTCTCTGTGTTATTTGGGCTAGTTCTATGACTTTTTTTTTTTTTTTAACCTAGTCTGATGTGAAGTTAACTTCTAGAACCTGAAAGATTTGGGGGTGAGCGTGGTGGGGAATATGAGCTCAAATCTTGAAAACTGTGTACCGTACAACTATGGCTTCTAGAGGGTGTTTTATCTGGCAAGCTTAATAGTGAGAGGTATATGTAAATGTATACTGAGTGACAGTTCACTCTGATTGTATGTGAGCTTGGGGAGCAATATGACAGTAAGGTAATAATCTATTTGGAATAGGCTATTTCCTGTAGGTAACTGAATTGATTGCCAAAGTTGGGAGTTCTTAAAGCAGTACCAAACCAAGTACTTACTGAGGTGAGAATAATGCCATTATTAGCCATAATTGGTGCTTTATAATCGTAATGCATTTGAGCACATAGAGCTGAAGTGTCAGAAAATTGATCTTTCCCTGCAAGTTAAAAACATATTTTCCATCAATCACAGTATAAAACATATTCTTTTAGAATTATAATTCTATTCCACAAATAGTAATTTACTGACAGTGAAGATCTTGAGAAAGAATGAAGTATTAACCAATTTTATATTGGAGTATGTTGGGTAAAACAGCAAGGAAATCAATGGGATAACAGTTAAGCATTTTATGCAGGAATTTTAAAATATTGTCAACAGAAAAGAGTGATTTTTTTTAACCTCTGGAATATTTAATAATTTGCAATTTGGGAAAGTTCACAGTATAATCAAGCCCTCTGAGTAATGATGAACCAAAAGAATGATGTCATAATGAAAGTACTTGGGAGGAGGACTTGGCAACTTATCCAAGATCGGATATCCAGAATTTTACGTTGTGGTCAGGCTTATGTTCTGTGCCATCCCCAAGGATATATGCTGGAAGAGCCCTTCCATTAGAACAATCTGGAAAAATATCCCAATCCAGTTTTCTTGGTCCCAGAGGTAAATGAGAAGACAAATGATTTTGCTCTCCTGTGCTCCTCACAGAATATTCTGGTGTTTGTTATAAGGCAGGAGAGAAAGATGACACTTTGGTTCTCAATTTTCCCATATGTGGAGGAGCGTGTGGTTTCCCTGTACTGTGAACCCTCGTAATTCAAACTATCCTGGTTAATTTCACACTGTGCTGTACGAGGGGACTACTATTTACTGAGTTTTGTCTGTTAGTTTATTCTATTAGTCACAGTTCTTGACCCTTAAAATATCTCTCATTGAATTTTCACTTTATAAATTAGGTATTGTCTCCATTTTAATAAAAAACAATGTTCAGAGAAGTTAAGTGATGTGCTGAAGGACACACAGGTAAAAGATAAAAGAGGTAAATAAAAAATAAATAAACAAGATAAATAAAATAGGTAGTGTTTGACTTCAAAAGTAAATAAAAGAGGTAGTGTTTGTTTCAAAACCCAACCCTTTCCACCACACTGTACTCCTCCCCCTAATTGCTGTAATCATCCAGCTCTTCTATAAAGCTGTACAGCTGCCACAAATCTCACTGTCTTTGTGGCCCACCGTCTCTCATCTGATCACACATGTCCTTTCTGTCTGAAATAGCTGTTGACATTTTCTGCGTAGAGTAGTTTCCCGATAGTTATGAATGTTCAGTCCTCATGTCATTTCTCTTTGCACTGTACTTGCTGACCCTCTCCCTCCATGGTTTTAGCCTTCTGTCTTATCCCTTTGCTGTGTTCATGTAAACATTGAACATAAACTTCATAATAATTTTTATGTCATGGGGTGACCTGGAGATTCAGTGAGTTCATGTGTGTTGAGCATTTATGGCAGCCTTTGACCCACAGGAAGACTTGATGTTGGCGACAGGAAGTCATGAGAGACCCAACACCAACCGTAGTGTGGTGGTGACCCTTAACCGGAATCTGGAGATGGATGCTTTAGACATAGATATGGCTTCTGCTGCTTATTTTGTCAAGTCCCTCAGCCCCTCTGTGCTGTGGTTCCCTGGGAGTAGTAGCAGGACCTGTCGATCATAGTGTTGCTGTGAAGAGTACACCAGGGGATGAGCATAAACTATTTAGAATGGAGCTCGACACCTAGTAATAGGTAAGTTATGTTAGTGTTTGCTGTCATCATCCCCATCATAACTTTTCGAAAGCTTGTTTTGTGCCAGGCACTAGGCTGATACCATTTATATTATTACTGAATCCTTATGCAAGTAGGTAATATTATGGTATCAACTGGACAAGGATGGGGAGAAGCTCAATAACTTGATTTGTGATCACATAGTTTTAGGGTGGCAGAGTAAAGGTTTGAATCCAAGCAGTCTGCCTCTGGGAACCTGGTCTCTTAGCCATTGTGATATATTGTGGGGCTGCACAAATGTCCTAGCATGGGAAGGCGGGGGGTGCTGGCTGGCTTCATCAGTGGAGTGTGCGACTCTTGATCTCAAGGTTGTGAGTTCAAGCCCCATGTTCAGTGTAGAGCTTACTTAAAAAAAAAAAAAAAGAAAAGAAAAAAAATCCAAGCATGAATGTCAGGGAAATGGATGCCTACCTGGCCATGAACTACATCACCTTTTTTCTCTGAGACTCAGGATAGAAATGAACACATTAAACTAGGTGTCCTTAAGACTATAAGGTAGCTTCCCGTTGGCACACTATGATTTTATATTTGGGGCTTAGCCTTGACCATGTGTGATCTCACTCTATAGAAGGTGGCTGCTGCTGCCAACACATTCTAGCAACCCAGTCCAAATAATGTGGCCTCAAAGTTCTCCCCAGATACTCCGTTTTGATCATCTACAATATCATTTAGCAGAAATGGTTATTGAGTGGTAAGATTTAAAAGGCTTGGGAATTATCAATAGATGTTGTGATCTCTTAGCACAGTGGAATGTGAAGTCATTCACTGTTAGACAAGAGAGAAGCTTGGGAGTTCCCCTCATCAGACACCCTCGTTTTGCAGATGATGAGCTCAAATTGGGTAGTGAGGTTGCCTGACCC